CAGGCTCCTCTATGAAGTGCTGAGGAGCATCCTCAAGGTGCCCACTGACCGGTATCACCTTCCCCTCTGCTCACCCCACACCCAGAAAAAGCATCACCGAATCTTTTTACTTTTTTACGGAAAATGTATTTTTGTGAAAATAGACTTTATTATAATAAAATTTGATATTAAATAAAAACAGACTGCATCACCAACACTCGTGGACACCGTGCTGGCATCACTCACGTACCTCACGTAACTGTCCTCCTCAAAACAAGTACCCCATTGAAACATGCAAAGAAAGAAACACGGGAAAGGATAGAAACCATGTAGTACAAAACTCTCCGTGGCTTAGAAAGGGATGTGTCTTTAACTCAAGGAACACATCATCTCATATGAAAATAGCTGCAAACTCTCCATTCCCCAGCTCCTCTCTCCGAACGCTCCGACTGAGGAGCAGCCCGCCTGGAACAGCCAAATAAAACTGTGGAAGAGGCAGATGAAAAATAAATAAATAAATAGATAAATAGAGAGAGAGAGAGAGAGAAGAGAAATAAATAAGGCGGAGTTCCCCAGCCAGCAGCGTGTGGTTGAGGTGAACCAGCCAAGAGCAGCTTAGAGCAGCCCACCCCAGGGGCAGGACCACCGACCCCCTGCAGGGTGTCGTGGGGGATGCTCCGAGGCACGGCTGCATATTTACAGGTTTACAGTACAAATAACTCACTCGTCAGCCCAGAGACAGCAAAAAGGGATTCAGGGGAACAGAAAAGTGCAAATCGTCTTTGCAAGGAAGTGAGGGGGGGTTGACACAACCTCCTTTGGACCAGAGAAATACCAGGGTGCGCAGTACGAGGGAGCTCTTCCTAAGGGGTCGGGGCTTTGCTGGGAAAAGCCAGTTAGCTAACTTACAACCAGAATATAATTTTGAAATGAAAATATTTACAGGGGACCGGTGCCTCGAGGGCTGCGTGGGGCAGGACACTGCTCTGGAGGTGGTTGTACCCCAGAGCTGAGGCCTCACAGCCCGGGGCTGCCTTCAGAGCCACTGCCCACGCTGGTGGGCACCCACGGCCGGGCTCTCGGCAGAGCCCCCAGCTCACAGACCCACTGAAGAGTTCTCTCTATTCAACATACACTTTTTCCCTATGAAAATACTCTAACCAGCTTATTGCAGAGGGCTTCTCCTGAATTTTCAGTCCCTGTGTGGAGCACACAGTCTGTACAGCACAATAAATCCCTCGTTAATTTTTCTTACTGGATCCCAGTTTTCTGAAGAGCTTTTTTCCTCTGAAGAAGAGGCCTCTCTTCTTTTTACTCTGACCAGCTCCATCACTGCTTTTGAGAACGGCCAGCGATGCCTGCTCTGGACACTGCTCACCCATCACAAGGCAGGGAGGGGGAGTAGGAGTTGGTGAAGAGTCGCTCTGATCAACAGACCCATCCGGAGTTAACTGGGGGGGGAAAAAAGAAAACAAAAGGGAAAAAAATCAGCAGTTAAACACGATGAAGGACATCACACCAATGTCAACCTCAGCCAGAGAACCCTGTCTCCTCCCCAGCCCTCACCCTGCAAGGCTCAGCTTGTCAGCCTGGCCCAGGCTGCCCAGGGCAGTGGTGGAGTCCCCACCCCTGGAGGGGTTTCCAAGCTGTGGAGATGTGGGGTGAGGGACACAGGGCAGTGGGGACCTGGCTGTGCTGGGGGAATGGCTGGACCTGATCTTAAAAAAGGTCTCTTCCAACCAAAAGGGTTCTATGTGGATTTAAACTTTTTTTTTTTTTTTTATCCTCTACTCAGACTCTGCCTGAATTCAGACATTTTGGAACTCCTTAACTGTGGGCTGAGAACAGGACATCAGAAAAGCCCCGTGGAGGACTTGGTGAAAGATGCTGCTTCAGAGCTGAAGATACTGCAAGTGGAGAACCTCCTGAGAGCACGGATGGACAGATACTGATGCATTAAGAAAAATCCAACCTCAGGAGAACAAGGGCTGTGCAAGAACTTCAGAAGTTCAAGGAGAATAAGCTGTGAGGCTTCTGAAACAGTGGCCATTAAGAAGAGAAACTCAGAGTCTTGTAAGTCTGCTCATCATCCATCAAATCTAGTCACAGGAGAAACAGAAGGTAAAGTCTGAAGCTCTGTAGTGGCACCAAAAATGGAGAAAAAGTTCACAATGGAGCAGGACATGGAGAAGTCTGGCATCAGGCTGCACACAGGAACCGAGACATGTCCCTAAGTCACCCGAGACTGCTAACTGGGATCCACAGTCCCAAATGGTGCTCTGCATGCTGCTCCTTTGGGAAAGGGATTTTGGAAATCAGAAAGTGCCCTCATCCTGGGCTCAGTTTCCTCTTCACAAAATACTAGTGGCACATCCATTCCCAGCAGCAGCCTTCTTTCCATGATCTCCTCTTGCTGGGTTTAGGTGTCCAGTGACCATTTCTGATGTGGCAGGACAAGCTTTCCCAGGAAGCTGCAAAGTTCACCAGGGAAGAGCCTCTGGGTTCCTGAGGCCTAGGAGAGCACGTGTCCCACCACCTTCTCTTCCAAAAAACCAGCATCTTCCAAGCTCCCAGCTGTACATCTGACACACAACATGACAGTGGCTGGAGCTGTGCCAAGGAGCAGGGCTCTTCCACGACACGTTGCTACACCACAGCCCCATCCTCCCTCTGCTTGGGTCCCACTGAGTCTGTCCCTCACAGGTCTGTGAGCAGCCCCAGCCCCAGCCGGGAAGCTGAGTTAATGACACCAGCAGCAGGATGGTCCATCTGGGGTGGAAGCTGTACTGAAGAGCAAAGACATCAGCCCTGGAAATTCTCCCACGGGGAAGGAGTGGGAATCCCAGGAGCAGCTGGCAGGCCTGGGTGAGCCTGGCCCTGGTCCCCAGCAGATCTCCAAGGCACCAGTGCTGTCGCAGCTCCAGCGCGAGCGGGCGCCACGGGCTGGGTGAGGGTCCCTTCAAAGCTTCCTGTGGCTGGAAGCAAAGGCAGCACCATTCCACCCCCCTGCTGCTGCCTGGCACCCCCTCCTGCCTGACAAAGCCCAGAGCGTGGCTGTGCCCTCTCCTCCCTCTGGCTGGGGTCATGCTGTTTGCCAGGTGCTTCATGTTACTGCAGGAAGAAAGTTCTGGTCCAAGAGGAGCAGGAACGTCTCCCAAGCCAGACCCAGCCTGCACAATACCTAACAAGTCAGTCTGGAGAGGAGCCCAGGGCCAGAAGCTCTGACTTGGTGTGGAGACATGACCCCTCCTGACTCCAGGAAGTTGGAAGTCAACTACTGTCTTGCAGCAATCACTTTAAACTGTCCCAAGAGACAGTGCCACCAGACTCTCCCTCACCTGAACTAAGGTCCCTGGCTAGAGGGACAGAGGTATCTCCTCCCCACCTCTCTTCATTACAGAAAGCAGTACAGTGGTGGATTTTTCCTGAACTCACACTCCATTGAGGGGCTGGAGCGTGGCCAGAGAAGGGCAACAAAGCTGGGGAAGGGTCTAGAGCCCAAGTGTGGTGAGAAGCAGCTGAGGGAGCTGGGGGTGCTGAGCCTGGAGCAAAGGAGGCTCAGGGGAGACCTTCTGGCTCTGCACAGCTCCCTGACAGGAGGTTGGAGCCAGGGGGGGATTGGTCACTTTCTCCCAAGAAACAAGTGATAGAACAAGAGGAAACAGCCTCAAGTTGCACCAGGGGAGGTTTAGGTTGGACATTTTTCCTAATGTCTTCCCTGGAAGGTTTGTCCAGGCCTGGCCCAGGCTGCTGAGGACAGCAGTGGAGTCCCCATCCCTGGAGGGGTTTCCAAGCCATTCAGATGTAGTGCTGAGAGAAATGGTTTAGTTCTGACTAGCAGTGACAGGTTAATGGTTGGACTTGATGATCTTAAAAGTCTCTTTGCAACCAAAATGCTTCTGTGACTCTGTGATTCTACTTTCACCTGTTAGTCTTGTTCCACAAGCTTTCAGAGGCACTCCTGTGGGTCTCCCCACGTGCAGCACTGTGCTGAAAGTGCTGCAGAGGGACCCAATGGCACAGCCAGGCCCTTGTGAGAGCTGCAGCTCTGCCTGCAAGGTCCACTCCCCCAGCTACCACTGCAGCATCCACACCAATCCTTCCATCTCCTGGCAGCACACGTGCAAGCTGCCACACTTGGTGTTGATGGTCCAAGCACTAGTCAGGTCTGAGAAGTCTGGAAATAAATCCAGATGAACCATTTTCATTCAGCAATGCAAGAGAAAGTCAAATGTGGGCTAGCCTGGTAGCCCACTGGGTTAGCTGTGTGCACAAGAAAGAGTCCCTGGGTTCTGCTCCAGAAACCATGCACTGTGCAATTTCACTGCTGTCCCAGGGATTTGCACAATTTCTGCAAAACACTGTTTGAAACTAAGAAGAAACACAGATCTGCTCCCAGTGCCCCCAGGAAACAGGAGTCTCACCCACCCCTGAGCCCCAAATTGTTTGTTACCAGGCAGAACAATTATCTACACAAGGTTGGGTTTAGGGACTAAATGTTGCAACTTTAAGTTGATGGTGTGCAGAAGATTTTGAGGACTACATTCAGGAAGGAGTAAAATCAAGAAGAAAAAAACCCACAGGCTGAATATGGGGTGGGCTCAGCCTGAGCAGGATCTTGCAAAGGTCAAACAAAGCTTTGGCTGTTGCCATGCTTGAACAGTGGCAGAAGGGTCAGGCTGAATTACAAAGCAGGTCTTTTCCAAACCTGAGCATCCAGCACAGTCCTAGCACAGTCCCCAGAACCACCAGATAATTGTTCCTAACAACTGCACTTCACGTGCTGAACAGAACACAGCTTGTCTGTAACACAGAACCAGTCTGGCAGGTAGAGGTCTGCCACCAGAGGATTTGAAGGTGACTTGCTGGCAGAGCCCCAAACCAGCCTGTCAAACTACAAGCAAGAAATGGAATAAACTCAGGTGCAGGACCCTTAATATGCTAGGCTGGGTGGGAGATTGAAGAGGTCTTCTCACAGAGACTTACATGGTTGCTCTCTCTCTATGTATCATTCATATCTATCATTGGACTCTTCTCTTCCTCATTCTCTGAAGAAAAGAACCATCACGGGTGCATAATACAGGCAGAAAACATGACATCAATTAGAATCAAACACTTTCTGAAGGTGATTCACAATCAGTCTTTGACAGAAACTGCATATTACTGATGCAAAAATACTCATTTGACAGTCACAGCATTAAAGCAACTGCTCTAAGCTGGTGAGCAGGATGTTTCAGGGCCTTAGCTTGTGACTATAACTTCTTGGATATTCCTCTTTATGCTGTATTTTTGTTGCTTACTTGAGTCCCCAAACATTGTCAGTTTGAAAGTGAAACCTTTTTCAGTGGCCAGCATTTTTAAGATTTACCCAGGAATGATTCAAAATGATCCAGTTTACCCAGTTCAATTTGGAAAGCAAACTGGCCTCATCCTCAGGCCTTTGGCACAGCAGCAGGGACAAGAGCAGTGTGGAGAACAGACAGGGGGACAAGATCAAATCCAAGAAGTTACAAGGGATTTAAAAATCACTCACAATCACGCTGGAGAGGCTCCTGTTAAGAGTGGAACCAGCTTGAAGCCCAGTGCAAAGCTCTGCTGTGGTGCACACACATGCCCCTGACGTGTCAGGTCTCAAGCTGGGACTGGCAAATTTGAGGGGAGCCTGTTTTGCCATGCTGCCTTCCAAAAGGTTCAATCCTTCTCCAGAGGCTGCCATGCACCTTGCACCTTTGGTGAGATTTCTGCATACTCCCCACTCCCCCATCCCAAAGAGCAGCAGCAAAGGTGCTTCTGTTTGTGCTGTATTTGCCACCACCACGCTTTAACAAGCAAATGCCTGAACTCTGTGCAGTGGACATGTCACTGGAGACTGGAAATCTTCAGGCATGGCCGTAGCACTGTAAGAGCTCATTCAGCTCAGGGACAGCCCTGAGAAGGTGTATGTTTGACAGAATGAGGTGTTGCTTCTGCCTCAGCCCTCAGGTGTTCTGCCCATGGGTAGGGATGCTGCGACGGGGTCAGGTTCTGGCTCTCCTCAGTAATCACTGAACTTATTTAAATGGAGTCAACTAACACAAGCTTGGTTATGAGCAGGGTGAATGCAGAGCTTCTAGAAGGGGGTAAATATGCCCTTCATATCTGGAAGCTGTTTGGCTAGATCTGGATTGCAAAGGAGGAGCAGGAGAGGCAGGACTGCACACAGCACTAAGCCAGAATCCCCCAGGCCAGCTCTCCTGGAGAAGCAGGGAGGCAGCAGGACAGGAGGCAGCCTGGCACCACACAACGTGGCAGATAATTACTGTGGATTAATGTGGAAATAAAACTGGCTTAATCATCATCAACTGAATTCTCCAAGTCCCCAGACTGTGAAGATGTGTAGACGACGTGTAGGTGCAGAGGGGTCTCGTGGTGGATTTGGCAGTGCTGGGTTAACAGTTGGACTCTAGGAACTTAAAAGCTCTTTTCCAAGCCAAACAATTCCACGAGGAGGAATGCCCTCCATGCAGGGAGGACCTTGCTACTAAGGCCAGCAACAAAACCTGGGACATGGCCAGTCAAACTGGTGTCACCATCTCCTTACCAGCACAACATGAGAGAGGGATGCAAACAGGAATACTTGAACTAAAGGCAGGTTTGTTGTACACATTGTTCTGTTCCTCTCTTGCTCAGCCTTAAGCATGAGCTAAGCCAAACCCTTCACATCTGCAAGTGGCAGATGAGCTCGCTGAGCCCTGAAGGTTACCCAAATTTCCCTGTGGTTTCTGGGATGACCCAGGCTGGGACTGGAATACTGGCCCCTGGCATGTGCAACAGGCCCTTGTTGCTCTTGGTTGAGAGAAGGGTCCCTGCTGTTGACAGAGAGAAGGGCCAGATCTGTAATAAGCTGCACTATGAAGTCAACCTGTTTTAATTTTACAGGTTCAGGTCTCCTTTGGCACCCTCTATCCCAGCAGATGAGTAATGTGGAATAAGTAGATCATTCTGAGAGGGGAAACTGAAGATGGAAATCTCCTCTGCATGCTTGTTTCCCCCAGGAAAGTTAAGACTTGTGTAACCTCAGGGCTCTTAAACCCTCATTAAAAAGCTTGTTAACCTGTGATTGGCCAGCATGGACCAGCACTTATGGGCTGGGAGGAAAGGGTCTGAGTATCCTCAACAGGTAAGCACAAGGGATACAGACAACTCCTGAGTTTAGAAGATGATCCAGCAAGCTCCCCACAAACCACATTTCTGAGTCTACACTTTGTAAGGCAGCACCAAAGCTGTAGTGCAGCCCCTGTACCCACAAAGCTCAAAATGCCTGGAAGTAAGAGATGGGGCTGCAGGGGAAGCCTAAGGGAGATCAGACAGCATCTGAGCATAGAAATGGGAGCTGGGTGCAGAGAAAAGAAATAGCTGAGCATGAAAAATAGGACAAGGAACACTGCAGAGAGCAGGAAAGCTGGGGTGGCACCAGGGGAGAGTTCACCAGAGGATTCAAGGGCACTTGAATTCAAGAGTACTTCCTCAAGGTCTCTCTCAAAGTCAACCTCTGCTCTTAGACATTTTTATGGGTGTGGCACCACTTGACAAGTGCCAATAACCTCCCAAGAAGAACTGAAGGTTGAGTACATGTGAGCTGCAACCAAGCTGTGTCTCTTCTGCCTCCCACTCCATAGAATGACACAGCATATGAGGTCCAGGAGGGACCAGGGAGGGGTTACACTTTGGGTCTCACCCAGTGAAGACTGACTGAATTTGGCAGATGATCCAAATTGGCCACTTAAGCATTTGCTTCAAGAGTAACAGCAATTTAATGCAGGGAGTTACTCAACCTTTGAATCCCCTGGGTCTGTGGATGCTTTCAAAGCTTCAGGATCCATCCCACAGATATGTCTGGGAAACCCCCTAGGGTGTTTTGAATTTATCTGGAAGCTCCTCAGACTGAATTAAACTATATCTAGCTCAGGATGGGTGGAAGAGTATTGGTGTTTGGGTGTTGGTAACTCCAGAACTCTCTGGCATAGACAGGAGCATATCTGAGGAATTTCATGTGTCTGGGGAGCTGGCTGAACTGCTTTGCTTGCAGCAGGACTTCACCACTCACCCTTTTGTGTATTTAAAGAATTTGCTGGTGGGACCTGGGCAGTCTTTGCTCACCTGACCATAAGGAGACTGAGGGCCCTGTGGGTGTGGTTGCTTTGTGCCTATTTTTGCACTAGAGGTAAGTATTCAAGAAGAGCTCCCAGCCCTCCCTTCTAAATGTTGGAGCACCTCACATGGGATGAGCTGAGCTGCATGCAATAATTTACATGATTCCAGCAGATGCTGCATGCTGCAGGATGCCCAATCTCCAGCCACACCACAGCTTGGGTGTCTGAGCTATGCACAGTCCCACAATCTTACCTGGCTCTCAGCACTCAGTGGAAAAGCTTCTTTATCTTTGACCACGCCTCCATCCGAGATCACAGCTTCCAGGAAGTTGGATGGAACAAGCCCTCTCTGCTGGTTCAGCTCTCCCTGCAACATCAACATTCAGTTCTCACATCAGGTTTCCTGGCTGATGGAGAAATAACACAGAAGGGAGTAAAGGAAGGAGAGGCAGCAGCAAGCCATGACAATTGTGTTCCAGCAACACGGGCACTTCCACAAACTCAAAAACATTTCCACTGCTGTCCTGGAAGCCACTGGAATAGGACTGTGCCAGAAGCTTTCTAAAAGCCTTTGATTTGCTCTGTTTTTTTGTGTGGCTTTTTGTTTTTTCCTCATTGTTTTTGCTGTTTTTTTGCTTTTGTTTTTTTTTTAAAGAATGAGGTATTACTGGTACAATGTCCTGCTGGCATTGCCTCAGTGCTGAGGTCCAGAGCTGCAAACCAAGCTTGGCCATACTCCTCAAAAACTGCCTCCAGTCCAACAGCAGGTGGTTGAGAGACAAAACCAATCCCAGCACTGTTGTCTGGCCAACAAAACATTCACAGTGATCCTCTCCAGACTCTCCCTGGGGCTGAACCTCATCTTTGATGTGTGAAGACACAGCTTTCTGTGCAGGAAAAGGGGGATGATCCAATGTCTAGCACACAGCTCGTGGCAGACACAGTCCCCAGGTATGCACAGGAAATTAGAAATCAGCTCTTGTAGACGTTGAGATGTTGAAGTATGGTCAGATGGGGGTCATCATACACTTTTCTTACTGTTTTAGCCTCCTGCCCTGAGTGAGACCAGGTGTCTGAGTACTTGGTGTCAAATCACTTCATAGCAGATGCTGATTCAGCTGGTCAAAGCACAGAAAAATGCATCCTAGGAAACCTGCAGCCAAGTTATGCCAAGAAATCAACTCAGAACCATTTGAATGTTGGGTTTACAGGAGAAGGGTGGACTGCTAGAAACAATTGTCCCTGCACTGCGTAGACCAGGTTGTTTTTTTTTTTTTTCCCAAAGCAGAATATTTTGTTCTCTGATTTCTGCTCTTCTACCACTAGATGGACTCCGAGGACTTCAGATGTAGCCACAGCACCTTCCCAACCTTACTTACATAATAGAACCCATCATCATCCATGGACCCAAACACAGTGATGATGTCCCCGGCGCTGAAGGTCAGCTCAGCCTGCAAAGAGCCAGAGAACAAGGGTCAGAGGAGAGGCACTGCCTGGAACCTCCACCAGAAACACCAGGTCACCCTGGGCTTCACCCTGGGCTTCGTGCACAGTCCCCCCTGAGGGAGGGAGGCCACTGTGTTAAGACTTACAGGACCAGGATGCAGAAGGGAAACTGAAGTGGGTAACAGTGGAATTCAGGGCTAAGAAAGCATTTAACAAATTAAGACAAGAGCAAAGCCTGTTTCTTAAACTCATTTTAACAAGGCTTCAAAATAGCACCTACCACTTGTTCTGGAAAGGTATGCAAGCTGAACAAGCAACAGAAATAGCTTGAATTTTGTTAAAATACTCTTTAAATACTAAATCCTGCTCCCTGGGATGAGCCTGTTGTGCATGCAGCACTCAGGGATTAGTCACTAGCATGACACACAAATGGCAAGATCTGACCTGGAAACAGAACATTACCTCTTAACCCAAGTGACCCTTCCCCAGCACATCCTCCTGACCTGCCAGCCACCCCAGCACGGCCTCCATGGAGCACAAGGCCCAAGACAAAGTGTAAGGAGTCTCTTCTAATGGAAGAAACTGCCCAATTATAGCAAAAAAGCTGCTCCAAGATTGAAAAGGTGGAGTCTCCAAACAGGTTGTGTCCCACTCAAGACACAATGGCCTTACAGGCACTTCCCAGAAGTGTTACCTGGAAGGGACCTACCTCCAGTGTATCTCTCAGAACTGTTTTGGTTGGAAGAGACCTCTAGGATCATCAAGTCCAACTGCTAACCCAGCACTGCCAGGTCACCACTAACCCATGTCCCTCAGCACCACATCTCCAAGGCTTGGAAACCCCTCCAGGGATGGGGACTCCACCACTGCCCTGGGCAGCCTGGCACAGCCCTGGACAAACCTTGCAGGGAATAAACTTTTCCTAATTTCCAACCTAAACCTCCCCTGGGGCAACCTGAGGCCATTTCCTCTTCTCCTGTATCACTTGTTCTTTGGGAGAAGAGCCTGACCCCCACCTTGCTGCAACCATTCAGGCAGTTGTTGAGACCCAGAAGGTTTCCTCTGAGCCTCCTTTGCTCCAGGATTAACACCCCCAGGTCCCTCACCCACTCTTCACAAGAACTGTGCTCTAGACCCTTCCCCAGCTCCATTGCCCTTCTCTGGACACGCTCCAGCCCTTCAATGTCCTTCTTGGAGTGACAGGCCCAAAACTGAGCCCAAGATTTGAGGTGTGGCCTCCCCAGTGCTGAGTATCAGGGGACAATCCTTATCCTAGTCCTGCTGGCCAAACTATTTTTGACATAAGCCTTATATTTACCTTATTATATCCCTAATACTCAATTTCTCTCCAGAGGGTGCAGGCTCCTCCTGTTGGCTGTGAATTCCTCTGTTCTAGCAGAAAGACACTTGTAGGGAATGTCACTCTGAGACACACAGAACAGCACAGCCAACCCTACTGCAGCTTGCTGCACGTTCACAAACTGCAGCTGCAGCCTTCCAGCAGAACAGGGAGCCAAATTCTGTGTGACCTGGGAGCATCTCCAACAATGGGACAGAACTGCACCAGCTTGTTTCAATCATTTGAGCTCTGTCCACAGGGAAGGTTCTAAGAAAACCAAATAATTGCAAAAAATAGTCACTGCCTGGATGACAAGAGGTCAGAAGTGCTCATTGGCCAGATCCCATGCTCTTACTGTACCTCTCACAAGATAATCCACCATCCCTAAAACATTTTGTCCTCAGAAGCAGGCTGTCTTGGTTATGACACACTCAGTTTGGGAGGCAAGCATCCCCTGAGCTGTGCCACCTCTTGGCAATACACTCCCTTCTGGATGCATGGGAAGAATCTGAACCCAAACCTCATGTTTATGTTTGCTCAGAGTAGACTAACACAGCTATGGAGGGACAGAGAACACAGCATGCTCTAATTTAGAAAGGGTTTTTGCAATCTCTCCATTTGCAACAGGCTTAGCCACAAAATTACTGTTTGGATTATATGTAGGGATTGCTTGAAAAGCAAGAACTTAGGAGACTGCTCCATTGGTCTGGTGTTGCTTGAACAAAGACCTACACAGGTATTTAACACAAAAGACATGCTCCAAGACACACTCATCTTAAATATCAGAAGTGCATTCAAATCCTTAAGCAGGTTTTTCCTTTTATCCAAGTGTGCCCTGGATCAGTTACCAACAGCCCAGATCTGCTCAGTCCTGTCCACTCTAGAGGATGCTACAAGGCCATGAGATGCTCACCTAGGTTCACTGAGGCACATACTGAAAACCACCAGGGGTATATTGCTCCAGATGCTTCACAGATAAACAAACAGCAGAGAAAGCATGAGAGAGCTCACTGGCAAACTCTACATTTTTAGCAGTAATACTGCCAAGCTCTAATCATCTCTGACCAAAATGCCAAGTGTCTTGGGATAGAAGAAAAAGAGAGAGGAAAATGAAACCTCCAGAAGGAGTGAGCAGCTGGTGGTCATTACCTCTACATCTGCATTTGGAGAGCTCTCCTTAGGGTTATAGTCAAAGACAGCCACCATACTTCGAGGAGTCAGCAGTTCAGCTTCAAAGTCTTTATGCTTCTGTCCTGCAGGATAAAAATAAAACAAAAATATCCTGAGCTGGAAGGTCTAGGACAAAATCCTGAACTATAAAAATTCACCCCTATTCTTGGAGTGGACTGAGCAAATGAATACTAGAGGGAAGTCAAGTGAGAGAAAGATCTTAGAGGCCCTAGAGACATTTGGTACAGCAGTTTTCTGATCTCCTGTACCACCTCACAAGCACAGAAATGGGGATAACTCCCCATTCCAGCAGCTAGGAGTATGTAATTTATGTTTTCTATCTATACACCCACATCTCTGTGTGTATAGCCTGCCTGCTCAGCCCCACTCCTCATAGCTTTGAGTGTACAAAAGCAAAGTCTGGTGTTACAGAAAATGTGCTTTGTCCAGTCCTTCACCTTATGGATTTAAGCCCTGCTTCAGGTCAACCCTGGATGGGCTCACAAGGGGTTTGCAGGCTTGGCCTCTCTGGACATCAGCAGATGACTCTGCTCCTAAGGAACCTTGGATTTTAAGGACTGTGGCATCAGAGGAGTATGAGATTTCCCATCTCCTCCAAAGCACAACCACACATGCCATCCACCTTCAAACACTCCGCGTTTGGTCAAAGGCCACTGCACCCACTACTCATTAAAACTCTTCTTTTGTGAGAATGACCATTTCATCCCAGTGCTCTGAAGCAGCAGGCCAGGGTCTTGCAGTGGCCCTTGAATGCACCATGCATCTGTTATTATAGTGAGAAAGAGCAATTCTCACCTGGAGGAGACTTGTACTTCTCCTGTTTATCCAGCCCTACTGGAGGAAGAAAATGTCTCATTAGTGAGAGTTCACCTTTCAACAGTGACCACAGGACACTACTGACAAGCAACAACAGAAAGAACAAAGACCAAGGCAGCAAACAACAGAAGCAAACTGTTCATGCAACTCAAAGTCTACACCAGCAACCATGACTTGGGGACGTAACAAGAAGCAGAGGTCAAACTCCAAAACTATAAAAGACAGAGCTGCTGTTAAAAACTTAACACCAGCACAGGGATGGGCTCTCCTTCCACTTCCTAGCAGTCCTACAGAGACAAACATCTCAGGGTCCTGTAAGCAAGCAGTAAAAACTCAATGCAGTCTGTAATCCTATTGCAAAAAGCAGAGAGGAAGCAGTGGGGGACACAGACCTTTCTTGGAGCGTCTGGGTTTTGGAGGAGGGACGGTTTGGCGGCGTGGAGGTGGAGAAAATGTGCCATTTCCTTAATAAAAATCCAAAAAAGCAAATCAATGGACAAGAGAAACGGACAGTGAATGGCAAGTGAAAAGCATCTTGAAGAGTGAACAGGCAACAGAGCAGCAGGACACGCCTCCCCTGGGAAGCAGACACTGGGGTTTCCACGGGCAAAGCCCCAGTCTCCGTATTTCCTACGTGGACTCACACGAGGCATGACCCACATCCTAAACACAGACAGAAATCCACATTTTAAGTGTATTTATGCCCATTAGCCATACCACAGTACACACCAAACGTCACTGTGCTTTGTATTTCAGAAGCAGCATAAGGGTAAAATAAACCCTGGTACCACTAACACCTGAAAAATGCCAGGGGAGGTGGACCCCATGAGATCACTCAGGTGTGAGGAAGGGATGTGGGGAGGTCTCTGCCTAAAGCTTCTGCACTGAATGGGGTCAGCACTGGAGGAGGGCCCAGCTGAGGCTGCAGAAGGAGTTCCCAGATCAACCCCTCCAAGGTGTTTTCTTAGTTGTGAGGCTGTAATATGGGTTTATGGCAGTAGGGTCTAGAGCACAAGTCTGGTGAGGAGCAGCTGAGGGACCTGGGGGTGTTGAGCCTGGAGAGGCGGCAGCTCCGGGGAGACCTTCTCCATCTCAACAACTCGCTGACAGGAGGCTGGAGCCAGGTGGGGGTCAGGCTCTTCTCCCAAGGAAAAAGGAATAGGACAAGAGGAAATGGCCTCAAGTTGCACCAGGGGAGGTTTAGGTTTGATATGAGAAACAATTTCTTCCCTGAAAGGTTGGTCCAAGGCTGTGCCAGGCTGCCCAGGGCAGTGGTGGAGTCCCCACCCCTGGAGGGGTTTCCAAGCCATGGAGATGTGGTGCTGAGGGACACGGGTTAGTGGGGACCTGGCTGTGCTGGGGGAAGGGCTGTACGGGATGATCTGAAAGGTCTCTTCCAACTAAAATGATTCTATGATTCTATGAAAACAATCTCCCTTTACCTCTAGGGCTGGGTGCTGGGTCTCACTGAAGGGAAATGGAAACAAATTGGATTGTTGCTTCTTTTTTTCCTGCCTTTTTTTTTCTCCTTGGCTTTTTTTGGTGGGAGGAGGGAGGATTGGTTGGCAGGGAGAGGCCCCTGTGAGAGGCAATGAACAGCTCAATGCCAGGGCTTTGCCATCAGACCCACACTTGTGCTACTGCTGAACTGGTAGGAAAACACCAGCCAGTCAACACAAGAATTTCCTCGTTTTAACAAGTGGGGCAGGTCAAAACTTTGCCACAGGTAGAAAGGAGTCTCAGAGAGGTGCAGGCCCAGAGATGGGAGGGATAAGGGACAGGCACTGGGACACCAGCAGGTTGACAATGGTCTTGGGGCAGCTCACAGCCACTGAACTGCAGCCCGAGCTGTGGTGGCTGCACACCCCAGGGAGGGTTCCTCTCCCTCCACGAGTACAGGAGTGGGAAGACACCAGGAAGTCTCTGTGGTGTGCAAAGCACTGAACCACGTACTTCAGGGAGTAAGGAGGAGCACAAGGACCAGCTCTGCTCCTTGTACACTCCTGACAGCCTACCCTCCTTCCCCACAAGTCCCTCCCCATGTTCCTCCACTCCCACATCACAGATTCTCTCCCCCAAGAGCACGATCACCCCTATGGCTTCAGTTACTGCCTCACAAAACAAAGGAGGGAACAGAGAAGTGAAAACTCTTCTTCACATCCTTCAGCTGCTCTTCAAACTTTTTTGTTTCCCCTTCTCTGGTGAGGATCAGCCTCACTCACACTCCGTGCCAAGTTCAGAGACATGATACATGGAGCACAGGAGCAGCTCCAGCAGCTGCAAAGGGAGCCTTGGGCAGCTCTGTGCTGCAGTAGAGTCAGCTATGACCTGAGACCTCAGACACCTGCCCCCTCACCCACCGAGACCTCCCTGCTCGCTGCTGCAACAGCCCCTCAGAAGCCTGCAGGCCCTGGGGAGCAGCTCTAGAGCTGGTTTTGGTGGGCTGCACTGGCCACACAGCTTGACAGCACGACTGAGCTCTCCACATTTCAGCCAAGAACCAGGGTGCCAACAGCACAGCCATGAAGGGGACACAGTACCTATGCCCTCCGTGCGTGTGTCGGCAGGCAGGAACCCTTGCTTCAGGAGCTGCTTCTTCATGTCCTTACTCTCCACCTGGACTTCTGATACCATGTTGCAGGGAATGTACCCCTCCCTTCCTCCACATTCACCTCTGTAAAAGCCATCAGCGTCCTTGTCTCCACATACCTGCAAGGCAAAAGACAGGCCAGACACCGTTTATGCCACAGGGACTGAGATGCAGAGAGGAAGGAGAAAGGGATGCTAAGGAAGCTCCCAAGATGAAGGAGGCTGTCTCCCAAAGGTTTATGCTGTCCCTGGAACACCAGATGGATCCACAGAGAATGGGAGACGCTCACTAAGGTGTGCTCTTACTTTCAGGATCTGTCCCTCCTTAAATGGGAGCTCCTCTTCTGCTGCATCAGGGTTAGGAGACATAGAAACAGGATCGTAGTCGAAGAGAGCCACAAATATTCTAATGTCATCATCTTTACCCGAGGTTTCTGAAGCAGTGCTCCTTGGAGGACCTGTGCACAGGGAGAGGACATCAGAGGGAACGTCAGCACCGCTCCCCTGCCGTCACCCCTCACGGCTCAAATACTCCCTGTGCTCTCAGACACTCTGCCCAGCTCTCCCCCCCTTGCCCACTCACCTGGACTAGAGAGCAAAGGTTTCTGCATTGGGTTTCTTCTTACACTCTTGGTCCCTCTTCTGCTGGGAGCCTGCCAGGTGGCTGTGCCAGGCAGCTCCTGGCCCCTGGGGTCTTTATTACCAGGCGCCTGCAACAGGAACCACCAGAGAGTTAGTAGCAGCCTCTGCCCTCCAGTGCTGTTTGCTCAGCCCAAACGCACTCCACAAAGAGCAGCACATCCAAATGCAACATTCCTCTTCAGGGACACTCCAGAGCTGAAAACACCAAGGGAGCTGGAAAAGAGAACCAAGTACAGGGCAGACACCCAGCCAAGCACCAGTGACGAGCCCCTTGGCGAGCGTGAGGATGCAGGAAAGGACATTTCGAGGGCAGGCAATGACATTACAGCCATCATCTACAGAAAGCTTTCACAAATCAGCTTATTTCATCAGGGGTTTTCATTTGGGTCCCACAGCCTCCTGCTGTGAGGAGGAAGACCCAGTGTGAAAAGGAATACTGCATCGGTGACACTCGGTCAGTTAGCAGGAAAAGCAGAAGCAGCTAATACAAGAAAAGCCACGGAGCAGCACAGAACTACAGAATCTCTCAGATATTCTTCCAGACAATCCTAGAGGAGGGTCCTCTCTCCGGACAACACTGAACAAAGCAAGATACAGGCAGGCCAGGGAAGCAGAGGGAAGCTAACGCCACTGCAAGCTGCTTCAAAGCCAGAATAGGAAAAGTCACCCAACCCTTTTGTGCAAGGAGGTGCTACGTATCCCCTTCGAAGGATGTTCGAGCCTCCTTCTCCAGCCAGGTGACTTACAGTCCAGCTCCCAGCCCTGCTCCTCAGAACTGCTCTCACATCTCAGTGCTTCCTTCTCCTGGCAGAAGAATCGCAGGCGCTGCCTCGGAGATCCAGCCCACTCCATGCTCTGCTCCTCCATCACCTCCACTCTGCTCAGATCCCTCCTGCCATCCGCGTGGGCAACCTCAGACTGACTGGAGCCATCGCTCCAGTCCCCCCGACAGCTCTGGGACCTTTCTGGCCACAGCCTGCTCTCGGGGGGCGACGCACAGGTCGAATCCTGGTCATCTTCAGAGTCATACTCAATGTCTATTTCCAGGCTCCTGGGGCTGGAGCAGCGTGCTGCCACCACAGAAGGTTCTGCAAACCCTGAACTCGCTGCTTTCGTGTGGCTTCTGCGTAAAGCGCCTTGTCTGGCACGACTGTACATATCAAACCCCTCCTTACCACCAGCACTGCTCACAACGTTCAGCTCTTCCCTGAGGCTAGGAGCTCTGTACAACCCACCTCCCATCTGGCTGCAGTTGCCCAGCAGACGACTGCAGTGCTCTGTTAAATCATTCTGTCTCTTCCTACCCATCTCAGGCCGACTCCGGATTTTCTCTCGATAACTATTTCCTTTCTTCTTGCTCCAAGCAGGACTTGCCCCAGTACCAGACTTTGGATCGTTCTCCTGGTAGCCCCAGTTCCAGTTTGCCTTCTTCTGATTCCAGGCCGGCTGGACAAAGGCAGGATTCACAGGGTCAGCATCCCCTCTGCTCTCCTTAACACCATGTTCCTCCTGTGGAGCCTGAGCAGACAGATCTGTGGAGGTATTACTCCCATCTGCCTTTAGAGATGGCTCTTTGATGTTGAGTGGCTTCTCTGTCCTTCCTGAATGGTGGGTAAGAGATTCTGAGGAGGCCTGAGGGTCTGCCTTTTCCTCCACAACACACTTCTCATCCTCATCTTCATCCTCATCCTCTGTCACTTCAGGGATGCTAAACAATTTCTTGCTGTGGTTCTTCTGAAGCGGGAGCTCTAGTAGCCTCTCCAGAATCTCCTCATCGCTGTCAGTATCATAAAGGTCCATCTGTACCCAGCCCCCAGAAAAGCCACAGCCAGGATAAGCAAAGAAAAAAAAAAAAAAGAGAGGAAATAAACATTAAACAAGAGGCAAAGTTACAGGTGATTCCCTCCCAGCACAGCAGGATGGAGCGGCGACGGTGGGCTGCAGCGAAGCAAGGGTAGGAAGCAGGAGAGCAATGGGGCTTCTGCCAAAAGGCAACCAGATGGGCTAGCAATGCAGTGGAAAGCAAGAGTGGCTAATGCATGGGGAGCTCCCTCCAGCCCCTGCCTCTACCCTGCAGCCCCTGCCCCCCTAGCCCGGGATGATGGGGCAGGAGAGGCCCTCGCCCCGCCGGGGTCCTCCCTCGGCAGGGCTAAGGCTCACTGCCCGTGCTCACACAGGAGCCACAGCCCTCCCTCACCTCCCCCTGCTCCTGCTGGGACAGAAGGAAGTGACCCTGTGCAGCAAGACAGCCCTTGGAGATGCTGCTTCTGTGGGAGGACCTTCCCTAGACCCTTCCCATCATCTGTCAAGGTCCAGCTCTACAGGAATTTACTCTCTGCAAAGCCAGGTGAAGAGCTGCCACAAAAACCCATGAAAATCCTTTACCTTTAGATGGGTAAGAGCCTACCAGGTTACAGAAAACTTTTGGGGAAACTGATGAATCTTAACATTTGTCTTAGAACAACTGTAGAATTTATGTTTTGTTTCTTACTGCATTTATACTAAGACAAAAAGAGAAAATCCCAGATGCATAATGTAATTTAGGTCAGAAGACATCTCTGGAGGTGTCTTGTTCAGCCTCCTTAATTTATATCATGACACATTCTAAAACCATTTACCAGTAGTTTAGAAAGTATATGTAGCTTTTAATGTTTTAAACTAGTCATGAACAGGTCTGTTAAGAGACAAAAACTGAACCAGTGAGGAAAAAAAAGACAGTTGTAAGCTGCCTGTTGCTTTGTTGATTGGACCAACTTTTTCCAAGCAAACGCTGGTCTTGAATTATATTTAGAATTGGTGGAAGGTGCCTCCAGAGCTCTCCAGTTCAATCTCCCAACTGCAGCAGGACTGTTGCCAACAGTAAATCAGTGTCTCCAGCTCTCTGGGGCTCCTGCCACGCTGCACTGCAGGTCCAACCTCCCCACCTGGGAAGCAGAACCTCCTTCAGAAGAAGAAAAGGAGCAGCAGCAAATTTATTCCAGAAATATTACTGCTAGTGATGATTTAAGGCTCACCAGACCCAACCTGTCTGTGGTGCAGGCCAGCACCAAACTACAGATGTTCTTGAGTCACATGAAATAAAAAATACTAAGGGTGCTCTCTTACCATACAGGGACATCATTTTCTTGCAAATCTTTCTAATTTCTTGGTCATTCAACCTCAGCACTGTCCCTCATGCACATGTATCTCAACTGCTGTAATTCATATGATCACACACAGCTTCCAGCCACCCACTTTTGAGCACGTTCCCTGTCACAGATGGGGCTGGTAGAAGCCCCATCCTTGGAACTATTCCAGGAGAGGTTGGATGGGCCTCTGAGCAACCTGCTTTAGTTGCAGATGCACCTGCTCAGTGCAGGGAGTTTGGACTGGATGGCCTTGAAAGGTCCTTTCCAACCCAAACCATTCTATGGTTGTATGATCATCACTCACAGTTCAGCTCAATCAGTGTTTCTTCAGTTACAATATGTGAACAGCAAAGCCACAGCTAAGCTCCCACGAGCCATCCATTCCTAGAGAGAGCACCAAGGTCTATGCAAAATAACCTGCACTAAGATATTCTTATATGTTATACTATGCTTGCAAGATTGAGACCAAAATATTATCATTGTCTTGCCTTAGAAGGGAAGTTGGGTTGCTACAGAATCTACAGACAGCTGGTCTTTACAGATTCCTCTGTGTTCACTGTTTCTATTAACAGCTTGATCAATAGGATTGATTTTTAACCCTGGGTTCTAAAGTTCACATTACATTGTGTGTTTTTCCAACTAATTAAACCCTGGGTACATTCATTACAAACAAACACCCTTCCCTCTCACAAAGAACCTGCCTTTTTACTAGCTTAAAACACGACTGAGAGTAAAAGCAGAGCAGGCAGGAACATGGCTAAGCACTGCAGGGAGTGCTGGGCTCAGACCAGCACCTCCTCCTGTGAGCTGATGACATGGGATGGCTGCACTAGCACTCCCCAGAAGCATCACTCTGCCATAAGTTACCTTTTCCCCATTTTCCCGGTAACCTGCCTCTCTCTGGTCCCACTTCTTCTCTTCCAGAGCTTCTGAAGACAGTTCATCTTCTTCCTCCTCTTCCAAAATATCTGAAAGGTCAGAACTACGGTTGTGCTCTGCGAAGAGGGTCAGCTGTCTTCTTCCCATGTCAGACAGCTTCTCTTCTTGCTGTTGAAAAGCAAAACAGATCCCCTCAGTCCTCTCAGGCACTCTGTCAGCAATAAAGTAGCATTTTACCTTTCTCTAGCACACATACAGCTAAAATGTGGCAGGAAATAAACTGGGCAGCACCCAACTCAGCAACTGGCACAGGTCTACACACAGAAAACAGACAGACACATTTTATAGCCTGCAGAACAGTGCTGTGTAAGATCATAAAACCCACGGGTGTCCAACACAATCCACACCCCTCTATGGGCAGAGACATTTAACCAAGCTTAAACAAACCTCTCTTTTCACTCTGGACATTTCTTTCATCACCTCCTTGCCAGGGGACAACCTCAGGAACTCCTGGCAGCTGCTCCCACCCACGCTTGCATCTCGGAGGGTGCCCTCTGTGCCCTCAGGCTGGCTGGGGGAGGGCAGAGGCTCTGGGCTCAAGTGCTTCTCCTTTGCCTCTTTCTCTCTTTCAGCATTGGGAGCTTTTGGTGACTCTTCCGCAGAGCACTCGTGGCAGGTCTCCATCTGTATCTTCAGACTACTGTTAGATGGGCTTTCCAGCTCTGGTGCTCTGGTTACAGGTTGCTCCATCTGGGAAATGAACCAAAAAAGGTCAACAAACCCAAAGAATCCTGGGGGAGATATGCAATACTTGTGCACCAAAAGGGGCCTTTACCACCCCAAACTCTCCAACACAAACACTCTATGCTCTGTGCTGTTGGCATATGAATATTTTGGCAGGCAACTGGCAGCTGGGAGAGCTGGCCAGCCCCAAAATAAAGCCCTCCCCACCATAAGCTGCAAGTAGATGCACAGTCTTCCCACTCCTGCAGCTCTGGCCACCACACATGCCTCATGTAAGCCACAAAAGTGTATTAACAGTAGTTTTAGAGCAACAAGATGAAGGAGAGCCCAAGCTATACAATAAGGTCATTTCCCACAGCAATGTCCTACACGCCAGCTTGCAGGTTTGCTTGAGCTGGAGGATTCCAAATACCCCATGTTACCACAGCTTCCCAGCTCCCCACCAGACA